TTTGGCCCGCAACTTCGTCCCAGATTTTCATTTCGGCCCAGTGTGAATTTGAGTTTGACACCCCTGATCTAGTGTGACGTCATCGACAAGTGCAGGACCCGAAGGAAACATGGCGTCCCCCAAAGATGCTAGACCCACGCCCTGTACTTTAGACCCAATTTTTATGGTTATTTGGCACAAAGCCACCAATATTTTCAACAACTGGACACCATTTTATTCTTTTCTAGTCTAAAGGAGACATATCATGAAAAATCCTATTTTCTAGTCTTTAAATACAACAAGGTGTTGTGCGTTTTAAGTCTCCAGGTGTGCAAAAGGAATTAAACTCGTCACTTTAGGTGATAATTAGGAGTTCTAGAATAACGTTTTGGTCTTATGCCACCTCTATTCCATCAGGACAACTTCCAAATATGGTGCTGGACTTCCAGCTATACACAGAGCCAATCCACCATGTTGTCTTCTTTGTAGTCCATTTAGAAAAATACGGAATATCGACTCATCTGGTCCACATGCGTCTCTGAACTGTCCCTCACTTGTGTGCAGCAGGAGAGCGCTGGCAGCCCTGAGACACGGCTGGGGGCCAACTCTCCCCGCATGTTTTAACCCTCCCACTGTCCTAATGGGTGACCCCGCGAGGAAAGTTGACCACTGAGCAGGATTGATGGTTTATCCCTTGAGGTCCACGTGGCAGGGGTGAGGTGGCGCTCACTCCTCAGTAAGGTTAGGGTTAAAGAGGCTAATGCAACGTTTCTGTGATGCTAAATAACAATTTGTCTATAAAACTACTAAAATGTCTGACTGGGGTGGAGAGTGAACTCTGCTCTGTGGAGGGGGCGGGGTTTGCAGCTCTTCCCTCTCAGAGCGGTAGAGGAGGTCTGTAGAGCAACGAGGAGGAAAACCTGCTGCTGTTTCTCACCAGTACCAGCTGATGGAGGGCTCTAGTTTCGCTGCGCCGTTCGTGTCAGCGGACACGGTGGGGTCGGGGAGGGGGGCGGGGCATGGCGCTTAGCCTGGCGGGCCGCCAGGCTTATAAAGGGCTGGGGGAAACCCTGATGATATGTCTACTTTAAAGGTAAAAACTACTGATTTAAGGGAAGAGTAACGCTATAAAATATTTCTGATAATTCTGTAAACACTTGTGTTATTTGTGTTTATTATATTTTTCTGAGCAGACGGATTGTTTAAACTTCTAAAGTGTTTTCAGATTTTTCTTTTTAAATTATCTAAATAAAAATCTGTATAATAGATAAACATTAGAGATCACAACAAAACCGTCTGGTAAATAGATGCAAATCTTAATACATATGAGTCCTGTGGAGTAAAAGATGGACCGTCCCACATCTGCCTGCAGCTGTTGCTCAAACGTCTTTGTAGACAATCTTATTATCTTTTTATCTGTTTTGAATGGAATACAATTAAAAAAAAGATTATTTTTTATTAAAAGAGTTGAGTTTACAAAATTAATGTCCATGTCTACGGTTTGCTTCTGTGCCTCGTTATTTAAAAAAAGCTGTGGGATGAATTTCCTTAAAAGACAAAAATATAATTAATCAAGATAATTAATTACAAAATTTTAATTAGATTAATTCTGTAATTGAGTCCCAGCTAACAGCTCTACACACACAGACACACACACACACACACACACACACACACACACACACACACACACACACACACACACACACACACACACACACACACACACAGAGGTCTACACTTAATCGGTCGTGTTTACATCGACTCGACAAACCCCTAAAACCCGACACAAGCGTAAAAGCACCGTGAGACTGTACTTTGTGAAGGTCTGTCATGTTTGTGTAAAAATAACTAATTAATAAATATGACTAGCGTCTGTTAGCATACTAAGCTCATTGAAGCTAGCCGCTAGCAAGTCACAATTTGTATAGGAATGAGCGGTTTGTGTTTTCATGTCCTGAAACAGTCGTGCTGCACTATTCTAGTTGGAACTGGGGTCAGGAGAAGGACCAGGAGGGGAAACATCAGGAACAAGAACTAGTTCTCCAGCTGGTGTTATCAGTAGCGGTGGGCTAGAAGAGAACAAGGAAGTTCACGTTCTAGCCAGTGTTGTCAACTGTTTTTGACTGAAAGTAGCTGCAGTTCCCCCCAAAAGTTGCTAGATGCTAATTTGCATTCGACGCCATCTGGTTTGCGTGATGACCTCGCCGGTCTTGTAGAGTAAATCAAATAAAACCAGTGTGATTTTATTTAAAAAATATATCTAATTTATTTTTAATATTTTATTAAAATAAAAACCCCAAAGAATACAAAACAGGAGCCTTTAAAACATCAAGGAATGATGGCACAAATAAATGGAAGGAATATTTATGTTTTGTCTGAAGAGAATGAAACTTGTAAACACAAAAAATATTAAATTGATTGGAATGTATGTATGATTGAATTAAAATGAATTTTCTCTTGTAGTTTTCAATTGCCTGAGATGTATTATTCTGTTGTGATTCAGTGCTAAATATATTAACCTAACAGATAATATATATATTTAGTTTTTGTTTGGTTTTGTTGTTTTTAGTACTTTTGTGTGAAAAGAAGCAGGTCGTATTTAGTATTCAGAAACGTTGCATGCAAACTGCCAATGACCTGAGGTGTTTGTCTTACAGTGTTATTCTGTTTTTTATAAAAGTTTTAAATGTGCTATGTTTTTGAACTCATCATAGAGTTCCAATGTTCCTTGAATGCACCACAAGTGGTGCGAGAAGCCATGTGTGAGAGCAACGCTGGTGCCAGCCGAGCTCAGCTGCCGAAATGCGGCAGGATGGCGGAAGGAGCAGTCGCCCTTTATGGAGCTCCGCTGGCTATCTCAAATAATGGACTTGTGAAAACCCACAAAAGGTCTGATTGGTCAACGGGGGTAGCGTGATCATGCTGCACGCACATGCGCAGATCATTTTCTTTCTGATCCTCTGGACGGAAGGACGGTCCTGTCGCGTCAGATGCCTCGCTAATCTGCAGGTAAAGTCTGCTACAAAGTTGTAGTCAAAGTAGCTGAGGGAGGTCAGAAATGTCGCCAGATTTGTCGCTAGGCGCTTTTTTGAAAAAAAGTCGTTAAGGGGTCTGAAAAGTCGTTAGAAATGGCGATAAAGTCGCTAAGTTGGCAACACTGGTTCTTGCGTCGTGTCCCAAACCTAACCCTGCGCTAATGTTTTTGCCTGATCTTGTGTTTGTTAACGTGATCCACTGGGAGGAGTTCACTGAAACTCTTCAACTGATTCACTTTCAGAACCGGACTAAAGATGGCCGTTTTACAGAAGCTGAGCTGAGTTAGCAGCTACGATTGGCTGAAGTGAGAAGTGTGATCTAACAAGTGAAAAGTGTCGTAACATCAGTGCAATCCTAGAGATGTTGTGGCAGTTCATGCTTTCCATCGTCATCAATGACAGAATTAATGTTAGCATGGGCTACCGTTGCTCACACTGCTTTAAATGACCAGTTTCTGTCAGATTTGTGTTTATAAAATAATGTTTACTTGGTCCCACTGAGAAAAGCCTGTTAGGTATCTCCTTCAGACAGGTCGTCAATAGTTGATGACTTTCTCGCACCACAAAAACCATCCATCCATCCATCCATCCATCCACCCATCCATCCATCCACCCATCCATCCATCCATCCATCCATCCATCCATCCATCCATCCATCCATCCATTTTCATCCGCTTATCCGGAGTCGGGTCGCGGGGGCAGTAGCCTAAGGCGAGAGGCCCAGACTTCCCTCTCTCCAGCCACTTGGACCAGCTCCTAAGGGGGACTCCCAAGGCGTTCCCTGGCCAGGTGAGAGACATAGTCCATCCACCGTGTCCTGGGTCTACCTTTAGGTCTCCTCCCGGTTGGACATGCCCAGAAAACCTCACCAGGGAGGCGTCCAGGAGGCATCCTGACCAGATGCCCGAGCCACCTCAACTGGCTCCTCTTGATGTGGAGGAGCAGCGGGTCTACTCCGAGCCCCTCCCGGATGACCGAGCTTCTCACCCTATCTCTAAGGGAGAGCCCAGCCACACTGAGGAGAAAACTCATTTCGGCCGCTTGTATCCGTGATCTCGTTCTTTCAGTCACTACCCAAAGCTCATGACCATAGGTGAGGGTAGGAACGTAGATCCACCGGTAAATCGAGAGCTTCGCCTTCTGACTCAGCTCTCTCTTCACCACGACAGACCGGTACAACGCCCACATCACTGCAGATGCAGCACCGATCCACCTATCGATCTCACGCTCCAGCTTTCCCTCACTCGTGAACAAGACCCCGAGATACTTAAACTCCTCCACTTGGGGCAGGACCTCATCCCTGACCCGGAGAAGGCATTCTACCCTTTTCCGAATCAAGACCATGGTCTCAGATTTAGCACTTTCATTTGAAACTCTGTCACAGATACAATGTGATGGATCACACTACGTTATTCTCTAGATTTGGCCACATCAGCTTAACTCCATCACCAACCCTAACCCTGACCTACACCAGCCCATGTACAGGTAGTTGTAGAAGCTGAGGTTGTTTTCCCTCTGTTTCACACCCAGACCGGCTTTTGGTGTCTAAAGCTCAGATTTTAGTGATTCGTGGACACGGGACAGACTGTTGGATTTACTGTAATCAGTCGCGATTATGTTTGAGTAATCTAGACTAATCTTGTGTTTTTCATAAAGTCTCAGCACCTCTCAGTAGCAGGCTGGGTGATGCTCACCACGATGCTTCTACTGACCTGCAACAGCCCACAGGTTCAGAATGGTCTCCAAGTAGCTTCTAATTAAACCTCACCACAGACAGGCATGGTGCACACAATACACATAAATATAAACAGCTGGTACCATGTGGTGAACGTGCATCTGTCCAGAACCTCATGCACACACAGCCAGCAGCCAGAACCTCCGCGTTCTTCCTGCTCTCGGCCCAAATGACACGTGATCAGCTGATGTTTTTAAACACACACTCACACACACACACACACACTCACACGGTGGGGTAAAACACACCAGTGCGCTTGCTGATGACCTCAACCAGAGTGGATGGGAAGTAGCCCACTCGATCGTTTCCTGTGCGGTTGTCATGGATACAGCCTTTCCAGCGTCCATCAGGGTGCTGCTCCAGAACCTGGCAGACGAAGAAAATGACAACAGATGAATTCACCTGAGTTTTTAGTCATTTATCATTTCTGAGCTGAACATGTTTGTCTTTTAAGAGATGAAAGCAGCAAAGAGGATCCCTGGAATCAGGGTCAGGGTTCGCCCGGCTTCACCACAGCTCTGCCCAAAACGATGCCAACAAGAACAACATGTACCGAACATCTGGCCAGTACTCACGCTGCCTCACCTTCTCCACACTTTGTTATGTTACAGACTTATTTCCAAATTGGATTAAATTCCTTTTTCCCCACAATATCCCATAATGACAACATGAAGTATAGAGAAACCCACCACCATGAGCCCCGTGTACCTTTACTGTTAAAGCATCTGGGATGCTGCTGTTATTACTTATTATTATTCTGTATGCTAATGTGATTGCACGTATTAGATGAAGGAGAACGTTTCTGGACAGATTTGTCTGACTCGTCTGTGTTTAGTTTGGCCAGCTGGCCGGGACATGATCAGAGTCACCAGCCTAAACTTCCAACAGTTTTTGGGAACGTTTCTCTTGTCAGTGGAATTTATTATGCTGTCCAATCAGATATCAGCATCTGTTGTTGCCAGGGAGAGTCTAATCTGCCCAGGGCACGTTTGTAGAAGGCTTTCAGATTCGCCTCCCTGGGCCAGCTAACTCACAGTGATGTCAGTGTTTTTCTGTCCTCTGATTGGATGTCGGAGCAAAGCCATCACTACCAACATTTGTTAGCAATGAACATCCTGAGTGATCTAACGCTAACGCTAAATATCTTTGTATTACATACACACAATGGCTGACGGAGAAGGAGAGATGGATTTGGTCTCAGATAATAAATAAATAGTCAGAACTTAAGTCGGAAAAGGGTAGAATGCCTTCTCCGGGTCAGGGATGAGGTCCTGCCCCAAGTGGAGGAGTTTAAGTATCTCGAGGTCTTGTTCACGAGTGAGGGAAAGCTGGAGCGTGAGATCGATAGGCGGATTGGTGCTGCATCTGCAGTGATGCGGGCGTTGTACCGGTCTGTCGTGGTGAACAGAGAGCTGAGTCAGAAGGTGAAGCTCTCGATTTACCGGTGGATCTACGTTCCTACCCTCACCTATGGTCATGAGCTTTGGGTAGTGACCGAAAGAACGAGATCACGGATACAAGCGGCCAAAATGAGTTTTCTCCACAGGGTGGCTGGGCTCTCCCTTAGAGATAGGGTGAGAAGCTCTGTCATCCGGGAGGGGCTCAGAGTAGACCCGCTGCTCCTCCACATCGAGAGGAGCCAGTTGAGGTGGCTCGGGCATCTGGTCAGGATGCCTCCTGGACGCCTCCCTGGTGAGGTTTTCCGGGCACGTTCAGATATTATGAGACCTAAAGGTAGACCCAGGACACGATGGAGGGACTATGTCTCTCACCTGGCCTGGGAACACTTTAAGATTCCCCCGGAGGAGCTGGCCCAAGTGGCTGGGGAGAGGGAAGTCTGGGCCTCTCGACTCGGGCTACTGCCCCCGCGACCCGACTCCGGAGAAAATGGATGGATGGATTAAATTGCAATAATAAATTTCTATTTTTAGTTTGAATTGTTTCAGAGGAGATGGACATTATTAAAGGTGCATTAGGATGGTTTTCTGGTGCATTGTTCACCGTATCACATACCAATGAAAACCAGTAAACTAAAATGAAGATTTGTAACCATGTCTGAAATGTAAAATCCTGGAAAAACTTCATCCAGTCATTATGCTGGTGCCTGTTCTAAACGGTTGGATGCATCAAGCTGCTCCTCTGAACGTGTCTCCACCCTCTGCTCATACCAAACTCAGAGCAGCTGAACAGGAAGTGAAGCCAGAACCGGGCTGCCGAGCCTCACCGGTGAACTCTCATGTAACGAGTTGTTTCACAGGTCCTGTTTAGAGTCTGGTTCTGGTCTCGTTGGGAAGGTTCAGGTCACGGAGCTGTCTGCAAACACAGCTCGCTAACTCTGCTGGCTAGTACAGATGTGTGTGTGTGTGTGTGTGTGTGCGTGTGTGCGTGTGTGTGTGTGTGTGTGTGTGTGTGTGTGTGTGTGTGTGTGTGGAGACTACCGTGATTACGTCTCCTGCCTTTATGTTGAGGCTGGTAAGGTCGTAGTTGTTGCAGTAATCCTTCAGAGCCCGAACCTGTAGAGCCGCTGATGCATCTGGAGGAAATAGTAACTTTTATTATTATTATGTTTCTGCTAAAACTTGTGATGAAGCAGAATCTCATTAAAACCTGAAACCGCAGCAAGACAACTTAAAAACCAAGGCTGTGTTCATCCAGCAGCGCCATGAGCATCTCCAGTAGGAGCAAGGTACACCTGGACAGGTAGGCAGTCAAAGCTGGGGCCACACACACATGCACACACACACACACACACACACACACACACACACACACACACACACACACACACACACACACACACACACACACACACACACACACACACACACACACACAGATTTCGCATGCTTGTTTATGAAGCCACAAATGCACAGAGAGAACGTGATACGGCTCTTAAGGTGTTGAACCTGCAACCTTCTTGTTGTGCAAAGACGGAAAGAAGAGTTTTAGTTCAGCGCAACAGAAGTGGGTAACTAGCGCAACAGAAGTGGGTAACTAGCACAACAGAAGTAGGTAACTCAGGGTTCCCACTCTTTTCTTGAAATAATTTTCCAGGACATTTTCAAGAATTTTTCAGTGTACAAGTCAAGTTATCATAACTGCGGTTTGCCGATATCCCGATATATTTAGAAACGGATATGATATTGTACCTACCCACACCGTTATTTTGACAATATAGTTGTGGAAAGATTTTTGTCTTTCACAAGCCCACCTGCTTTCCTCTACTTACAATGCAACACAACTAAAACAGAAGTTATTCTCTACTTTAGTTCATACCAGAGGTGTGACATTGTGGCATCATCAAGTCATCTCAATGTCCTGTTTTTGTTCTGCTCAGCAACTGAACCAGGTTAATCCACTGTGCTGAATGAAATCGTCGTTGTCTTCCTCCGCTTATCCGGGTCTGGGTCGCGGGGGCAGCATCCCAACTAGGGAGCTCCAGACGTCCTCTCCCCAGCCACCTCCACCAGGACCCCAAGGCGTTCCCGGACCAGATTGGAGATGCAACCTCTCCAACGTGTCCTGGGTCAACCCGGGGGCCTTCTGCCGGCAGGACATGCCCGAAACACCTCCCCAGGGAGGCGTCCAGGGGGCATCCTGACCAGATGCCCAAACCACCTCAACTGACTACTTTCGATCTGGAGGAGCAGCGGTTCTACTCAGAGTCCATCCCGAATGTCCGAGCTCCTCACTCTATCTCTAAGGCTGAGCCCGGCCACCCTATGGAGGAAACTCATTTCGGTCGCTTGTATCCGCGATCTCGTTCTTTCGGTCATTACCCAAAGCTCATGACCATAGGTGAGGATTGGGACGTAGATTGACCGGTAAATCGAGAGCCTGGCTTTCTGGCTCAGCTCCCTCTTCACCATGACAGATCGGCTCAACGTCCGCAGCACTGCAGACGCCGAACCAACCCGCCTGTCGATCTCCCGATCCCTCCTACCCTCACTCGTGAACAAAACCCTGAAATACTTAAACTCCTCCACTTGAGGTAGGACCTCTCTCCCGACCCGGAGTTTGCAAGCCACCCTTTGCCGGTCGAGATCCATGGTCTCAGATTTGGAGGTGCTGATCCTCATCCCAGTCGCTTCACACTCGGCCGCGAACCTACCCAGCAAGAGCTGAAGGTCAGAGCTGGATGAAGCTAGGAGGACCACATCATCCACAAAAAGCAAAGACAAGATTCTCCTGCCATCAAACTCGACACACTCCACACCACGGCTGCGCCTAGAAATTCTGTCCATAAAGGTAATGAACAGAACCGGTGACAAAGGGCAGCCCTGGCGGAGTCCAACCCTCACTGGGAACAGGTCCAACTTACTACCGGCTATGCGGACCAAACTCACACTCCTCTGGTAAAGGGACTGAATGGTCCTTAACAGAAAGCCACCCACCCCATACTCCTGGAGCGTCCCCCACAGAGTGCCCCTGGGGACACAGTCATAAACATTCTCCAAATCCACAAAACACGTGTGGATTGGTTGGGCAAACTCCCATGCCCCTCCATCACCCTTGCAAGGGTATAGAGCTGGTCCACAGATCCACGGCCAGGACAAAAACCACATTGCTCCTCCTCAATCTGAGATTCGACTATCGATCGGACCCTCCTCTCCAGTACTTTTCCAGGGAGGCTGAGGAGTGTGATCCCCCTATAGTTGGAACACACCCTCTGGTCACCCTTCTAAAATATGGGGGCCACCACCCCGGTCTGCCACTCCACAGGAACTGCCCCCGATGACCACGCAATGTTGCAGAGACATGTCAACCATGACAGCCCTACAACATCCATAGCCTTGAGATACCCAGGACGAACCTCATCCGCCCCCGGGGCTCTGCCGCTGTGTAGTTGTTTGACTACCTCAGCAACTTCTGCCCCCAAGATTGGACAGTCCATCCCCAGGCCTCCTGGCTCTGGTTCCTCCTCGGAATGCGCGTAGGTGGGATTGAGGAGCTCCTCAAAGTATTCCTTCCACCGTCCGACCATAGCCCCAGTTGATGTCAGCAGCTCCCCATCCCCACTGTAAACAGTGTGAGCGAGTTGCTGTCTTCCTCTCCTGAGGCGTCGGACAGTTTGCCAGAACCTCTTTGGAGCCGATCGATAGTCTTTCTCCATGGCCTGACCAAACTCCTCCCACGCCCGAGATTTTGCCTTGGCAACTGCCACTGCTGCACCCCGCTTGGATATCCGGTACCTATCTGCTGCCTCCAGAGACCCACAGACCAGCCACGCCTTGTAGGCCTCCTTCTTCAGCCTGACGGCTCGCCGAACCTCTGGTGTCCACCAGCGGGTACGGGGGTTACCACCACAACTGGCACCGGCCACCTTGCGACCACAGCTAGCAACAGCCGCCTCAACAATCGCAGAGTGGAAGAAGGCCTGCTCGGAGTCAATGTCCCCCACTGCTCTCGGGACGCGGTCAAAGCTCTGCCGGAGGTGGGAGTTGAAGACCGTCTTGACAGGGTCTTCTGCCAGGCGTTCCCAGCAGACCCTCACTATGCGTTTGGGTCTGCCAGGTCTACGCAGCATCTTCCCCTGCCATCTGATCCAACTCACCACCAGGTGGTGATCAGTTGACAGCTCCGCTCCTCTCTTCACTCGGGTGTCCAAAACATACGGCCGTAGGTCAGATGATAAGACTACAAAGTCTATCATCGACTTGCGACCTATGCTGCCCTGGTACCAAGTGTACCGATGGGCATCCTTATGTTCGAACATGGTGTTCGTTATGGCCAAACTGCGGCTTGCACAGAAGTCCAATAACAAAACACCGCTTGAGTTCAGATCAGGCGGGCCGTCCCTCCCAATCACACACCTCCAGGTCATGCTGTCATTGCCCAGGTGAGCATTGAAGTCCCCCAGCAGGACAATGGAGTCCCCTGATGGAGCACTATCTAGCACTCGTCCCAGGGATTTCAAAAAGGGTGGGTACTCTGAACTGATATTTGGCCCATAAGCGCAAACTACAGTCAGGACCCGTTCCCCGACCCGAAGGCACAGGGAAGCTACCCTCTCGTCCACTGGGGTAAACCCCAACACACAGGCAGAGAGTCTTGGGGCTAGCAAAAAGCCAGTTTTGAAAAGTTTTGAATTGGCACCGTCTTCCTGACATCACTCACTCCTGCCTATAAAGGACACAAAGACATATTTTGAAAGATTGCTACTGTTTATATTGACTGTTTATTCAATAAATTAGGCCTACTTTTCAAACCTTAGCTCTTTCATATCTTTCATATTCTATGTATTATACTTACTGTACACACCACATTACACTTTACTGCTTATTCCACATAGTTGGATGTTAAACTGCATTTTGTTGTTCCAGTATTGGTCATTTTAGGTTAGTCCAGTCATCCAGAAACAAGATTCAGGGTAGATGACTAGGCTAATATCTCCCGCTAACACCACAGACATATTGGACCTGAAAAATATTTTTTTCTACCTCAGAGATAAGTACTTGTAGTTGTTCGCTACCATTTTAGTCTGGACTGTACGTAACATTACTATGATAAATATATAGTTACCACTTAAAATCATTCTAGTTATTAATTTAGCCGTGTTGAATTCAATTTAATTACGTTAACAACTTTGTTCAATGACCATGCCAGTCCAGTTCTCACTGCCACCTGGCTGCGGTCTGTGTAGCTAGCTAAAAACAGTATGAACAGCTGAGGCTCTGTCCTCTGAGCACATACTTAGTATTTTGATAGAATCAAATTCATGACATTTTTATCATTCACATATTTTTGTTTCTGCTGTTGGACGATAGAACAAGTATGAACTACTGAGTGGAGCGCGGGTCCGGTAGACTACCTGCTATCCATTGCTATCCCGAAGCTCTCCTCAAGTTCACTCGTCTCATTGCATGAGTGAAAAAAACAAAAGCTCTCCGCTGCTCCTTTGTCACTCAACAGAGAGAAGGAGAAAAACCTCTCGCTCTATAAACTGCGATAACGCAATACTCGCGAACCGAGTCGCTACTTTTGGCCCTTCTTTAGAGAAATAAATCTAGGGGTGAAAAATCTGTAAATCTAGCCAAAAAGACAGTTGGAAAAACAGAAGTGGAACTGGAACTGAAGGGGATTATGCAATCTGATTGGTTGGAAGCGTCATGTGGGGCGCTGTGCCAGCTAGATGCAGAAATTAAAGGAGAAGCGCTACAGCCCAATATTGCCCAAAATGTTTAATCCATTTGTTTATCCACAAGGATGGAAAATTATTTTCCAGGACAACTCAAAAATTTCCAGGACATTTTGCAATTCCCCCCATTTTCCATGTGTTTTCTATGACTGGAAAATTGGACTATCATTTTCCAGGTTTTCCAGGTTTTCCAGGACGCGTGGGAACCCAGTAACTAGCGCAACAGAAGTGGGTAACTAGCGCAACAGAAGTGGGAAACTAGCGCAACAGAAGTGGGTAACTAGCGCAACAGAAGTGGGTAACTAACACAACAGAAGTGGGTAACTAACGCAACAGAAGTGGGTAACTAGCGCAACAGAAGTGGGTAACTAACGCAACAGAAGTGGGTAACTAGCGCAACAGAAGTGGGTAACTAGCGCAACAGAAGTGGGTAACTAGCGCGACAGAAGTGGGTAACTAGCGCGACAGAAGTGGGTAACTAGCGCGACAGAAGTGGGTAACTAACGCAACAGAAGTGGGTAACTAGCGCAACAGAAGTGGGTAACTAGCACAACAGAAGTGGGTAACTAGAGCAACAGAAGTGGGTAACTAGCGCAACAGAAGTGGGTAACTAGCGCAACAGAAGTGGGTAACTAGCGCAACATAAGTGGGTAACTAGAGCAACAGAAGTGGGTAACTAGCGCGACAGAAGTGGGTAACTAGCGCAACAGAAGTGGGTAACTAGCGCAACATAAGTGGGTAACTAGAGCAACAGAAGTGGGTAACTAGCTCAACATAAGTGGGTAACTAGAGCAACAGAAGTGGGTAACTAGCTCAACAGAAGTGGGTAACTAGCGCAACATAAGTGGGTAACTAGAGCAACATAAGTGGGTAACTAGAGCAACAGAAGTGGGTAACTAGCGCAACAGAAGTGGGTAACTAGCGCAACAGAAGTGGGTAACTAGCGCAACATAAGTGGGTAACTAGAGCAACAGAAGTGGGTAACTAGCTCAACAGAAGTGGGTAACTAGAGCAACAGAAGTGGTTAACTAGAGCAACAGAAGTGGGTAACTAGCACAACATAAGTGGGTAACTAGAGCAACAGAAGTGGGTAACTAGCTCAACAGAAGTGGGTAACTAGCGCAACAGAAGTGGGTAACTAGAGCAACAGAAGTGGGTAACTAGAGCAACAGAAGTGGGTAACTATAGCGCAACAGAAGTGGGTGACTAGCACAACAGAAGTGGGTAACTAGCACAACGGAAGTGGGTAACTAGCACAACAGAAGTGGGTAACTAGCACAACAGAAGTGGGTAACTAGCGCAACAGAAGTGGGTAACTAGCGCAACAGAAGTGGGTAACTAGCACAACAGAAGTGGGTAACTAGCACAACAGAAGTGGGTAACTAGCACAACAGTAAAAGAGTGACCAGAGGTTTGTTTGTTAGCTTAGCGTAACACCAAAGCACAGTAGCAAAGTCCTGTTAGCTAACAGTGGGTTAACAGAATAACTCCACAGTGGGTTGGTTAGCTTAGCATAACATCTGGACATCCATGAGCACCTTCATTGACCGGTCTAAATGGCTGTTAGTACTAAAGTTACATCACGAGTCATCTTGTTAATGTGAAGAGTCAGTCAGTGGAAACCTCTGTTCCTGTTCCTGTCTTTTCCCACCCCGTCTACGGCATCAGTCCATCCATCCATCGTACCTCTCAGCAGCTGTTTGATTTCTCGGCTAGCTTGTGTTGCGGTAAACTGGTAGACGATGTCGAGTGCTGTCTGGCTGTAGGTGTTTCTCACCGTGGCGTTGATGCCGCTCTGTAAGACAGAATGGTAAGTAACAGCAAGTAACAGTAAGTAACTGTAAGTAACAGAAAGTAACAGTAAGTAACTAAGTAACTGTAAGTAACTGTAAGAACTTTAGCATCAAAAACAACCACGACTTTCTGCTGGCATCGGCCCGTAAGGAGCTGTCATCCCACTCCTCCTAGAGACACCTGAGTGGTGCACCCTCGAGCGTTACACCTCAGGCCGCTCTAGCTCCTCTGCTAGTTTACAACCGGACCGTGTTTTTCATCGAGCTGAGGAGCAGCATCACGTTTGGATCTGCTGCATCAAATCTGGGCTAAACGAACAACGGCGAGTTCAGTTGAAGTGTGCTTCAGGGCAAAGAGTCACTGTTTATCGCAGCTGGGTTTCTCCTGCTGGAGGACACGACCATTAAAACAAATGACCTCCTTGTTTCCTCCAACCTCGTGGCCTTTAATTGTCACCATCACAAGAAGGTCATCTGCATCCTCCATCCTGCAGTCTCACACTGCTTTCATCACATGAGGATGACGGGGTTCTCACCAGGGTCGCACCCATCTACTGCTCAGTCTCTCCTGTGTACTACGTTACATCAGGTTGTGTTGGTGTTTTAACGAACCCTTTAGGACTTTACTTTGTTGATAAAAAACACAAAAACAGGTAAAAAGAGGAACCGAAGGAACAACAGTTGGTAAGAAGACAATCAAAGGTTATTACGACTTTAGAGAAACTATTAACTGTTATCAGACTGTCCGGTAAACTGTTACCCCGGCAGCAAACAGCTGATTTGGACTAAATGCGCGGTTTGCAGAGTTAATTCTTCAGTCGATTAAAATACATTAAGTTGATTTAAAAGTTCGGTTAAAGGTGCATCATGTACGAATGAGGTAAGAGCGACATCCTGTGGCCAGATTTGGGTACTACAGACCAGGTATCAGTACACACGGGTAACGCGTTGCCAGGTAAAAGGTCAGCACCAGGGGGTTCTAGAGGAGGAGCGAAGACGAGTCATGCTCACATCTCACTGTAGCATCCAGATGGTGGTAATTGGAAAAGTAGACTGTTTGCTTCTAATTCACCGTTAGCATTGTTAGCTCAACGTTAGCCTCTAGCCTTCTTTACCTGAGTAAAACAAAGAGATGCCGTGGCTTCTTAGGGGGACAAGAAATAACTTCTGAGTCGCTCCTGTTGAATTACGAATGCCGGCGCTGCAGCGTTAGCTCGGCGCTGACTCTGCAACCCCGCTGGCTCACTGAGTGTAAACAGTGACTGCGTCGCTCTTCTGCTTTTAAAAATGATAAAAACGGACAACCCCACAGCTGGCTGAGGATGAACCTGGTTCAGTATAACCGTCCTCCCAACAAGCCTGAGACGTTAGACCCAATCAGTCATTCACCCCTGGTGGTGATGAGCTACGGTGTAGCCACAGCTGCCCTGGGGCGCACCGACAGAGGCGACTCTGCCGTACTTAGGCACCACCGGTACCTCCGACCACCAGCAGGCAAGGCGGGTTAAGTGCCTTGCCCAAGGACACAACAGCAGTGACAAACTGAGCGGGGCTCAAACCTGTAACCTTCCGATTACGGGGCGAGTACTTAGCTCCTGTGCCACCGTCCCAATAAATAAACAATAAAAAAATGGGGTTGGGGTAAACATCAGCCGTCTGAGCTCGTTGTCCAGGAGTTATGACCAGGAAGAAGCTCAGCTACACCCTTTCAACATTTAAAGGTTAGAAAAAATCCTAAAATCTGCTCAGGACCAGACAGCCGACGTGAATCTGCTTACGATGTCAGAGAGAACCACAACAGTGAATCATGATGATGTAGTTAAATGTGTAATGCACTCCTTATCCAGTTTCCTTTAGGATATTTCTGCTGAGGTGGTGACCAGAACATCACGTCAGTTCCACTCACCTCCAGCAGGAGTCGCACCACGTCGGTCTTCCCACAGAGGGCAGCTTCGTGCAGGGCAGTGCCCGCTTTGGTCTGCCTGTTGATGTCAATGCCAGCCTGGATCAGCAGCCTGACAGACAGACGGGTGGGAAAGAGACAGAGGGGGTGAGAAGGTCCAGAGGTCCCAGGTAAAAATAATGGGAGCTGCAGGTGTTTTAAACTCCAGTCTTTCACAATAAAAGTCTTTTTTGACCTTATTTTGATATTTCTCACATAGAAGTGCACGTTTTAAAGACGTTTTCAGCTTTTATTTCATAGATGAGCTCATTTTCTATGAGACTCATGCTGGGCCAGTGTCAGAGGTCCAACCCCGTCATGTGATCATCACTGGATGAAGCATAAGGCATGCAGTTCTTCAAAATAAAAGCACCAAGTGAGCTCTGAACACAGAAAAAATGAATCTGCAGCTCTTTACAGGAGGTGTGTGAGTTCACGTTGTATCGAGCCTGCAGCAGCTATTTCATGGTGACTATGAGAGTTTAAATTAAGAGACAAGGATGGCTTTCGTCGCCCTACAATGAATACAAATCATCTAAATATCAGGTTTCGGGCTTATTTAGGGTATTAAATCTGATGCGTGCCAAACGGATGAGTTTGTAAACCTGACACACAGACGGTGCTGCTTTAAATGAAGCGGGGAGCTTTTCTTATTCCCCACCCGTCTGATGTCTCTGCTGCATGTGGACAGGCTAAAGCTCTGCGTCCTGATGCTGCTTCAGAAACACACCTGAGTCCTCTGTGACTTTATGTAAACACGGGATCAAGGTCTCTGGGCTAGAAAACACAAATGAGCAGCACCTTCCATGGTTCAACCCCGCTCACACGGACTTCCACTCGCTCCCACACTCAGAACTCGTCTTTTCAGGTGTCGGCGTGTCCCAGTAGCTCCGGCGTCTCTCGTCTACGTACCTGATGATGTCTATGTGTCCATTCTTGGCAGCCAGGTGGAGCGGAGACGTCCCGTTTGGATCGCTGGTGTCTCCTTTTTTAGGCTCCAGCAGTGCGGCGCACATGTTGCTGGAAAGCAGCAGCTGGACCACCTGCACACACACAGAGCAACACGCCCACCACCTTGGTGTGTTTTACCCACGACAGCAGTGTCTTGGTGTTTCATACGAGGGTTTTACCTAAGATGTGAGCTCCTGTGAGAGTGAGCCGGCTCCGACATGGTCACAAATAAAGGGTCTGACAAGTCAGGGCCGTCACATCTTACCGGTAAATATTTCTCTCCGGGGAATATTGCTTCACGATGAGCTAGTTTCATGACTGACTGCATCCACTACGTAGCAGGACCCGTGGGTCCTGAAGCGCCGAGTTGTTAATGAAGGCAAAGGTGAAGCGAATCTCCCAGCGTTCACTCCTCAGCTCCGAGTCCAACGAGTCCTGATCCGATACGTCGTTTTTATAAGAAAACAGGTTTTCTGTAATGATGTCACTTCCGCGGTTCACCTGAAAGCCTCGCAGGTTCAGGAAGCACGTTGATAAGAAACATGTTGCTATTATAAATATACTAAAACGGGCACAACCGCTCACGTTTCCACTCATTTAAACAGAAGGACCAGCTCTTTGGGCTCTAGAAGGTACCAACCACCAGCGTACCACCAAGAACCAATCCGAACACAGAACCAGCCAAGTCAGGGGCTTTTAGTTCAACTACATCAATGGCCATCTTTAATGAGTTGGGTTAAATCCACCCTGGAGTTTACGGACAAAGGCAAAAACGTTTTACTGACAAGAACAAACCGAAACTCTCACCCCAACTCTGCCGAACTCACAGGCCAGGTCCAGAGGAGTCTTCCCAGCGTTGTCCACGATGCACGGGTTGGACTGGTGCTGCAGCAGCATCTCCGACTGGAACACAAACCAGAACAGAGTGGCGTTGGCCTGCTGCTCCGCTGTTTGGAGCCAATACAGAGTCCTACTTTCATTGTTTCTGACTAATCTGTTACATCCAGTGGGCGGTGAAGGCTGTGGGTGGAGAGGAAGAGTCAGCAGCAGCTCTGGAGGTGGAGCGGGGGTCCAGTAATCAGAGGGTTGTAGGATCGAACCCGCCTCCCAGCAGTGAATGCTGCTGTTGTGTCCTTGGGCAAGACACTGAACCTGCTGGTGGTGGTGGGAGGCACAGACAAATACACGTAGAGGCCCTGTAGTGGCCGGCAGCCATCTTAGATGGGTCTCCATTCGCTCACAGTGCATTCATTTCTACTGAGGAGGGTGGTCACCCAACTAAAAACAACATTTATCAGGCTTTTCCACCAAATCAGACACAAGGTATGGCATGATACTTAAAATAGAAATATAATTCAACAAAATACATCTAATCTATTTCAAAATAAAAGCCCATCAGGTAGGCTAGAAAGTCACTAATAATCCCACGTGATCTGGTTTCAATAGCAACATGTGGTTGTTGTAACCGTAGGCTGCACAAAAACGGGCACTGTTGCTCGCTCTGCATTGACTTGGGAGCATGTGGAGACCCATCCAATATGGCGGCGACACTGTTACACTCTCCAGCGCCCAATGGGGCGTCTACGTATTCATGTCTACGGTGGGAGGGACCTGTGGCGCCTGCACAGCAGCCTCACCTCCACCAGTGTGTCTCGGGGCAGCTGTGGCTACATTGTAGCTCATCGTCACCAGAGAGTGGACGACCGATTGTGTTGTAAAGCACTTTGGGGGGTTCTAGGACCCTAGAAGGTGCTATACAATTGCAGGCCATTTATTTCCAGAACAAATCAGAAGAGGTCGTGGGTGTTTTAACTTCACAACCACAGATAGACTCCTTCACAATAAAAGTCTAAATCTGCAGCTTTTGTTCTTTGGTGACGTGTCACCTGTTCTCTAACAGCTTCAGGTTTTCACCCAACTTTACGTATTTACACATCTAGAGATTCTTCTCAACCTTCTCTGGTGTTTTTGTCCTCGTTGCCATAGAAACGCTTATGCATCAGCTGGGTTTCATACCATGTTTTTAGCTGAATTTTAGTCTTTTGGTGCAGAATCAGAACCAAACGAGTCTCTCACCACATCATAATGGCCGTGCTGCGCCGACAGGTGCAGCGGAATCTGTCCCTCGTCTGATTGGCCGTTGACTGATGAACCTGACTTCAGCAGCATCTTCATAGGCTCCGCCTTCCCCTGCCAGGCTGCGTAGTGCAGCGGCCGCATACCTGAAGCACACACACCTGAGTGACACACTGAGCCGTGTGTGTGTGCGTGTGTGTGTGTGTGTGTGTGTGTGTGTCATCACCTTTCTGGTCTCTGATGTCAACAGCAGCCTGGGACTCCAGCAGCAGCGAGAGGAGCTCCACGTTCCCGTTAAGAGCTGCGTGATGCAGCGGAGAAAAGCTGCAGCAGAAACATGTTTGCTCAGGGTGAGTTCAGCAGATTCAACATTATGATCTGTGTGTGTGTGTGTGTGTGTGTGTGTGTGTGTGTGTGTGTGTGTGTGTGTGTGTGTGTGTGTGTGTGTGTGAGATGATCAGACATGACAGCTGTGATGGATAAGCAGACAGGACCCGAGGACGTGGACAGAAAAAGCACGTTTGCTCTCTTTGGGTCGACGGGATAACTTCTCACAATCAGCCCAGTCAACCGAACTCATCCCATAACCCTCAGTCTGAGGCCGGGCCTCTGTCATCTGGAGTAAGAGCGTAGACTTCAAGGATCCCCCCCCCCCCCTGAATACAGGAAGTGTTTTGGCTGAACGCCAGCACCGCTCATCTGTCCGGCGGCCGTGTTCAGAAAGCTGCTGACTGCGGCGCGTTCACAGAGGAGCTGCTGTGATTTGTTAGAACAGACTCATTAATGAAGACGTCACTGACGGGTTACAGAGATGAAAGCTTCGGTCTGATAACGCCTCTGCTCCGTGGAGCCCAGCCTCGTTTCCTGTGGCCTCGGGTCTGTAAAACCGCTCCTATGAATGAATGAATGGAGCGTTTAGCCATGTTGGAGTGCCTCAGGGATGACATGAACAACTCTGTATTTCCATGTTTGATGACAACTCGGTGACTTTTACATTCTGGGTGAAAACCTGGGCGCTGCTGTCTCCAGATGCGTTCTCGAGGTTTTTCTCCCAGCCTCTGGCTCCCGCTGGACGCGGGTTTCCTTGAACCCAGCCTGGAAGCTACGGTGCTACATCATCATTAAAAACAACTGTTTACCAAACGGCAGCCGAGCCTCGATCCAGAGGAGGTCCGCACAGCCTAGGTTCTGCTGGTCTGAAACCACGAAGTTTAAGTGAGAAATCAGAAAAACGATTTCTGCACGCCTGTGAGCCGAACTGAAGTGTTGTAGAAGAACTGGGCTGTTCTCTTACCAGAAGCAACCAGAACCACGCGGCACTGACTTCAACCTTTTCTGTTTGTTTTCATCATAACCGCCACATAAACACCTGTTTATCTTCTCATTTAGCTCTACAACGGTATGACAATAACAATAATAACGACGTAGACCGGCCCTGGTCACCAGGAGGTTTAAAGCAGGATCTATATCACCCACATCACCCCGCTTCTCCTCCAGCTTCACTGGCTGCCAGTCAACTTCAGGGTTCATTTCAAGATCCTGGTTCTGGTCTATAGGGCCTTACATGGACAAGCACCATCTTACATTGGTGATCTTCTTAGTCCCTACACCCCCAGCAGGTCCCTGAGGTCCAGTGATCAAAGCCTACTGGTTGTGCAGCACCAGGCTAAAGGTCAAAGGTGACAGATCATCTGCTGCTGTGGCCCCCAGACTCTGGACCTCTCTCCCCCTGAGCCTGAGATCAGTGGACTCAGTGGTCTCCTTTAAAAAGCAGCTGAAGACTCACCTGTTCAAGCTGGCTTTTGTATGACCTTCTTCACCTCTCTCTCTTTATTCTGCTCTCCCCACCTATCCCACCTTCCTCAGGATCCACTGGTTTGTTAGTTTTATAGTTTTTTTCCCTTTTAAATGACCAAAATAAAACAAATTGAAATTTCCTTCTTTCCTATTCACTCTCTTAACATTTTTAATCACACTTGTCTATTTTTGCTCATTTTAATATATTTTTAAACATTTTCTAAATTATTTTTTATATTTTTACATATTTTGTTTTTGTGAAGCGCCTCGTGCTTTTTGTCTTGAGAGGCGCTATAGAAATGATATTTTCTTCTTCTTCTACAAACACCAGCTGGTGGGTTCTCTAAAGCTGCTGCTGACATTTATAAACACCGTTAAACACGACTCGTCCTTTACTAACCTGCTGTGTTCTGGTCTGAACTAGTCAGACTACCGAGTGCTGACCGAGTCAGCATCCACCTCCATCCATGTCGCTGCTGAGACCATTCATGAAACCAAACCCGGTTCGGCCTCTGCTGCCTGCTACTCGCATCGCTGCAACAGCATCTTTGTTTCTTCACCCAGCCTCGTGAGCTAATGCATGCATGATGTCACAACTCCACTACGGGCTGAGTAAACCAATCAGCAGTGAGCGTGGATCTGGAGAGAGTGCTAGCGGGGTTCCTGTCTGCAGCCAAGTGCAGGGAAGCCTGGGCTTTTGCCAAGTTGTAAAAAGCCACATGAAGTATTTATGCCCTCGTTCTTGTTTTGCTCTAAAAGTCCTCCCTCTCTTTCTCAATCTATCTGTCAGATCTCCTTCCTGACAGTCTAACAACGTCCCATCCCTTCCTGGCTCCCCTCCCCACGGACCTTCTACGTCTGGCTGAGCAAAACAACAATAAAATATAAACAAAAATATCTTTTTCCGTTGCCTTTCAGGGCTTCTGTAGCCTTCGGTTACATTCACAAATCAGTGTTCCCATCTTCCCATTCCCTATCAGAGCAAGCATGGTCTGTTGACTCTGATTTAGAGTCCGGATGTTGCTAC